ACCCCCCTTCCTGACCGGCCATTTTTTGTGATACAGCACTGCATTACTTTACCTGACAATTGAGCAGTCATGCAACCCTGAACCAAAATGAAATTTACGTCTGTTTTTTCCACAAATGGAGCTTTCTTTTGGTGGTATTTGATCACCTGCACGCTTTTTATTTTTTTGCGCTATAAACAAAAAAAGACTGAGGCTGCATTGCTTTAACTGACAATTGAGCGGTCATGCAATGTTGCACGAAAATTACATTTATGTCCTTTTTTCACAAATGGCATTTTCTTTTGGTGGTATTTGATTGCCTGTGCATTTTTTTATTTTTTGTGCTACAAACAAAAAAAACCCAACAATTTTAAAATTTTGGGGAAAAAAAGCTTGCCCCCACCAAATTCCTACCAGACCCTCGATCCAAGCACAGGCCTGGCAGGCTAGGAAAGGGAGTAGATGACCGAGCGCCCCCCCCCCCGAACCATACCAGGCCACATTCCATCAATATGGAGGCCCCTCCCCAAAGAACCTTGTTCCCATGTTGATGAGGACAAGGGCCTCTTCCCCACAACCCTGGTCTTTGGTTGCGGGGGCCTGCGGGGGGTGACTTATTGGAATCTTGAAGCCCTCTTTTAGCCCCCAGATTCCAGACCCCCCATGTGAATGAGTATGGGGTACATTGTACTGCTACTCTTTCACACACAAATTACTGTGTATTGTAAAACATTACAGTTGACAGTCTTTGACAAGTCCTGTATTAAAAAAAAAGCCCAAAAATGGTTCCATTATTGTAATCCATCGTCAATCACGGCATCCAGTGTTGTCACGATGACTCTGACTTGCCAAAATAGAAAAAAAAATGAAGCCCACAGACCCGTACATCGACTCGAACATCAAAGACATCCCTAAAAGGTAATCGGCAAAGAAAATAAGTTCATTGGTTAGAGATCATATAGTTTCTTACAACAATAAGCAAATAGGGCCCCATGGTTTTTTGCCAAAGATTAGATTATCAGCATATCCATATGTCTGGTAGAACTTGTGTAGAGCGCCCACGGCATGGCATTCAGGTTTCCCGGAATTTTTCATTGGTGCAAAAGCATGTTTCTCTTCTTCTCAGTGGTCTAGGGAGTCTGGAAAAGTTTACATTTTGCACTGGTGTGTTATACACATGTGGTGGAAGTTCTTATATAGCGCCATCAATTTATGCAGCACTTTACATATATATTGTACATTCACATCAGTCCCTAACCCTCAAGGGGTGTACAATCTAAGGTCCCTAACCCTCAAGGGGCGTACAATCTAAGGTCCCTAACCCTCAAGGGGCGTACAATCTAAGGTCCCTAACTCACATTCATACATACACATACTAGGGACAATTTAGACAGGATCCAATTAACCTACCAGCATGTCTTTGGAGTGTTGGAGGAAACCCATACAGGCACAGGGAGAACACACAAACTCCAGGCAGGTGGTGCCATGGTCAGGATTTGAACCAATAACCCTAGTACTGCCAGACCATTTTTTCCACTGTGCTGCCCAGTCTTCCCTGAGCTCCCAGAGGTGGATGGTATTATAGGAGCATTGGAGGATTACATTAGTGCACATTACTGACTCTAAACTGAGCACAGTATATATGGCGTAAATGTGATTTAAAGTGGTAGAACACTATTAAAGTAACTTTGCTTTTTGGGGGGGAATCATTGATAAAGGAGGACATTATTGAACAGAATTTTTGAAGAAAGTTATATATGTGCAAAATTACATTTATTGGGCAGGAGTAGATGAACAATGAGGATGGCAGTGTACATGGAAGAGCACTAAGTTGGCACATTGTGTTCACCTTAAAGTGTTACTAAACCCACAACAGTACAATCAGTCTTTATATTCAGTAAAGCATGCTTGTTATACTCACTGTGAAACCTAAGGGGCTAATCCTCTGCATTGTGTAAAAAGACTGTTTGATCCTCTCCTTATTCCAGTGCCCCCCTCTTATCTCCTGATAAGACACATTGTGTGGAGAAACTCTGCACATGCTCAGTATGGTGTGTATTGCTAGAGGGTTTTTCTTTTCTTGGTGGCATGCATGTGATCAGTACAGGGCCAATCAGCACTGTCCAGACAGAGGCCAAGGGTTCTGCATCCTCCTAGATCAAAATCAAAACTCCTCCTGCAAGCTTTAACCAGTGCTCTGCTGGACACTGATAGAAGTCACAATACTGCTATATACTGCTGATAAGAAAAAGTAGTTAGCAGTTTATATTTACTAAAATAATTGCATTTCAGTGTTCTGTGTACTACTGTGGGAGACCAGATATAGTGAATTCAGGGTCCGGGGTTTAGTAACACTCTAATGTGAGCATAATTTTAATTGAAGTAGGGATAGTGGTATTTTGAGCATACTAATATATATAAATAAATAGAAGCCCCGAGGGGCTGGAGGACTTCATTTTCAGGTACGTCTTTCATAATGTGCTAGTACGCACATTGTTTTTATTTTTTTGTAGTTTATTACTGTTTAAATAAAATTTTATATATATATATACATACCGTATGCTGATCTGTTCAGTTAAGTAGCAGAGGGGGTTGTTAATCAGTTTCAGCTGCTTTGGTGTTAATGAACTTAAAAACAGGTGCACTAGATGGGCAAACAATAAGACGATCCCCAAAACAGGAATGGTTTTATGGGTGGAGGCCACTGACATTTTTTTCCCTACTCATCTTTGCTGACTGTTTTTCACTAGTTTTTGCATTTAGCTAGGGTCAGTGTCACTACTGGTAGCATGAGGCCATACCTGGACCCTACAGAGGTTGCACAGGCAGTCCAACTCCTCCAGGTAGGCACATTAATATGTACCATTGCCAGAAGGTTTACTGTGCCTCCCAGCACAGTTTCAAGAGCAGCGAGGAGGAGTCCAGGAGACAGGAAGTTACTCTAGGAGAGCTATACAGGGGCATAGAAGGTCCTTAAACCCATCAGCAGAACTGGCATCTGCTCCTTTGTGCAAGGAGGAACAGGATGAGCACTGCCAGAGCCTTACAAAATGACCTCCAGCACGCCACTGGTGTGAATGTCTCTGACCAAACAATCAGAAACAAACTTCATGAGGGTGGCCTGAGGGCCCGACATCCTCCATTGGGCCCTGTGCTCACTGCCTGACACCATAGAGCTTGTTTGACATTTACCATTGAACACCAGAATTGTCAGGTCCACCACTGGCACCCTGTGCTTTTCACAGATGAGAGCAGGTTCACCCTGAGCACATGTGACAGATGTGAAAGGGTCTGGAGAAGCCATGGAGAATGTTATTCTGCCTGTAACATCATTCATCATGACCGTTTTGGTGGTGGGTCAGTGATGGTCTGGGGAAGCATATCCATGGAGGGACGCACAGACCTCTACAGGCTAGACAATGGCACTCTGTCAGTTATCGGGATGAAATCCTTGGACCCATTGTCAGACCCTACGCTGGTGCAGTGGGTCCTGGGTTCCTCCTGATGCACAACAATGCCCAGCCTCATGTGGCGAGATTATGCAGGCAGTTCCTGGAGGATGAAGGAATTGATACCATTGAATGGTCCCCATGCTCGCCTGACCTAAATCTGATAGAACACCTCTGGGATATCATGTTTCAGTCCATGCCGCCAGTTAGCACCTCAGACTGTCCAGGAGCTCAGTGATGCCCTTTTACAGATCTGGGAGGAGATACCCCAGGACACCATTCGTCGTCTCATTAGGAGCATGCCCTGATGTTGTCAGGCATGCATACAAGCACGTGAAGGCCATACAAATTTGAATTGAGGACCATTCTGAGTTGCTGCAATGACATTTCTGCAAAATGGACTAGCCTGCTGCATCATTTTTTCACTTTGATTTTTGAGGTGTCTTTGAATTCAGTCCTCTGTAGGTCGATAATTTTAATTTCCATCAAACGATGGGGCATTCTTACGTTCCTAACACATTACCCAGTCCAAATCAGTATAAATATCCAGAATGATATTTTCCTCATTGAGACCTGATATTTTCAGGTATTCCTGAGTATTCCTTTAATTTTTTTGAGCAGTATATATATATATATATATATATATATAATATGTTTTTGTTCCTTTTGTCATGTAGATGAGTGGAGGACATAATGAAGACAGTAAGTAGAGAAAACAAGACAAGACACATTTTCATGTCTGTTACCACAAGCTTTATTATATCCAGATATGACCAAGTCTGATATTACACGCTCTATTAAACCCAGATACAACAAGGGTGTTTGCATCTGGTAAGAATCCTAGGAAAAAAACATTATTTTCTGTTTGCATATTGGAACCATTTTCTTTTGGATGAGACTTTGAATAGACACTTAAAAGTCTTAATATCACTGGTTTTGAGTTTCTAAGTCAATAGGTACAATTCTGGTGGGTGGAGGAAGTTTATCAATGCCAAGGTGAAGTGACACTAGGGAAGGATAAGGTATTATTGTAGAGGAAGGGTGGAGGCTATATAGAATATTTTGTTCCAGTAGGATCGAAGAGATTTACATTGCCATAATACATGGTCAAGAGATCCACTTTCGACACACTGTCATACTTGAAGTGTTTTATAACCATACTTAAAAAGGCAACATATTGATATATAGATGAGGAGAGTTTAATCTGGGGTCTAAGGAGGTACACCAAAGGGGACTCCTTTGTGCACCTTAAAGATTTTTGGTCCACATTTTGTACAGTGTTTGCTAAGACATTGTCCTCAAGCTCTACAGATCCTTGGGCATCCCATATACCCCTAGCCCCATCCAGGTTGTTAACCCTTTATAAAAACATAAACATGCTCAAGAACTGTTTTACTGAGAGAAAATGTGGAAATGAGTGTTGCCTGGCTGTACAGAGCTTATGGGGACCTAATCAAATCCAGCAGCCCTCGAGGGGGGGTAGCACTACACTTGGATACAGTGGCAGAACAATGTGTCATGCTTGAACACGTGAACCTCCTCTAGTGGTTGTTACTGTGACCAAATTAAACCCTTTTATTATACAAAACATTTCTCAAAGCTTGCTTGATATCTTTATTCCTCAGACTATAGATGAAAGGATTTAGGAAGGGAGTAAATACAGTGTATAATAAAGCTAGGGTCTTGCTGATAATTTGTGATTGTCCTCTTTTTGGAATCATATACATGGTGATTAGAGTCCCATAAAATATAGACACCACTGTCAGATGGGAACTGCAAGTAGAAAAGGTTTTCACTCTTCCCGAAGAGGAGGATATCTTTAATATGGCTAAAACAATGCATGTATATGAAACTACTATTACAATGAATGGTGCCACCAACACAGGAATGCTCAAAACCGTGACCTCCATTTGAATTATGGATATATCTGAACAAGAAAGTTCTACCAGAGGATCATAATCACAAAGGAAATGGTCGATCGTGTTTGGCCCACAAAATTGTAGTTGGCACATACTAAGAGTTAGCATTAGAGCTACAGAACAGCTGAACAGCCAAGATACAATAACTAATTTAATACAAAGCACATGGTTCATAATGGAGGCATAATGAAGAGGAGAACAGATGGCTAGATAGCGGTCGTAGGACATCACCATTAGAAGGAAACATTCAGATGCTTCTGAGAAGCCAAAGAAATAATACTGAATCATGCAGCCAGAAAGAGATATGGAGGTTCCCTCATGTAGTACAATGCTTAACATGTTAGGGGAAATGTCTGTGGACAAAATTATGTCACTTATAGAAAGTTGGGAGAGGAAGAAGTACATTGGAGAGTGGAGGACCTTACTGTAGGACACCAGTGCAATGATCAAGAGGTTTCCACATATTGTCACACAGTATATAATAAGGAAAAATGGGAAGAGCAAAAGACTTACTATTTCATGGTTCTGGAATCCCAGAAAAAAGATTCTGGTGACTTCTCTGTTATATGTTGACTGTGTGCAATGAGAAAGCAAACAAATAATATAAGATAACATGACAATATATTTTACTCATGCAATTTCACATATTGCAAAAATATATGAGTACTACTGGGAAATCTCAGACAACAAAACAAAAAAGAGACAACAGAGGGATGTTTGAACATCTAAAGCCCAAACTTGTTTTGCTCCTACTGACAAAACAGACATTAAGAGTAAGTATGTCAAAAGTAAGAATAATGTTTTCTTAGTTGCCACTGGAACAAGTGTACCCATGGGAAAATTCCCCCCATATAAGGTACTTATTCAAATGATGTCAACATTTTTATTTTTCTTTACCTTTATCCAGGACTTTTGTTTCTCAGACAAGAAAAGTAGGGACCCTTGTCCCCCTACCCATCTCCAGGCACTGTCCTTTGATTCCACTCCCCACCTACCTCTGACCAACCTTCCTTTTAGAGAACACAGAACAAAGTATCAGTTTGTGGTGCTAAGTAAGTTGTGTAATGATAACAAGAAAAGCAGGAAAATAGATCCCTGCAGCCAGCAACAGTAGACCCTTACCAGCAACAGTAGATCTCCCAACAGCCAGCATCAATAGAACCTTCAGCAGCCAGCAAAAGTAGATCCCTTCCTCAAGTTGATCCCTCCAAGCAACAATTGACCCCAAACAGCAATAGATCCCCGACCAGCAACAATAGTCGGGGATCTATTGCTGTTTGGGGTCTCTCTCTCCCTCTCCCTCCCTCTCTCTCTCCCTCTCCCTCCCTCTCTATCCCCCCCTCCCTCTATCCCCCCCTCTCTCCCTCCCTCTCTCTCCCTCCCTCTATCCCCCTCCCTCCCTCCCTCTCTCTCTCTCTCCCTCCCTCCCTCTATCCCCTCCCTCTATCCCCCTCTCTCCCTCCCTCTCCCCTTTTTTAGATTGTGCTTGTGTGGCACCCAATTTTAGTGTTGCTTAGGGCAACTTACACCACTGATTAGTACAGTAATGTGAACTCTTTCACCCTTTTTGGGTGTTGTGTGTACCTTGCTAAGCTCTAGGAGCCCATAATTATTGTGTTAGTATTTTGATTTTTTGTACAGTGCTTGAAAACCAGTAAAATATTGAAAATATATATAATATAAAGAATATAATAAATAATATAAGAACAGCTCTCATACTCACTTCTCTGGTGGCCTGTGTTTCTTAGCTTATTTCCATTACAGTGCACAGACTTCATCAGACTCATTGGGTTTCAAAACATATAGATATGTGGGATAGTGTGTCCCAGGGGCGGACTGACAACTCATGGGGCCCCCGGGCAATAGTGGATCATGGGGCCCCTGTGACCTTGCCCAAACTCAAAATAACCTATGAAAAAGGTACCAGGGGCATCTCATGGGGCCCCCTATTGACCCTGGGCCCTCAATAGGGGATCCTGTGGCCCCGTGTCCTTGCCCAAACTCAAAAAAGTCTATAAAAAAAGGTACCAGGGGCATCTCATGGGGCCCCCTACTGACCCCCCGGCCCTCGGGCAGTGCCCGAGTTTCCAAATGGTCAGTCCGCCCCTGGTGTGTCCCATTCCATGCACCAACATTCTTTCCTCTGAGTACTGCATCACTGCTGAGTCCTCTAGTGACATAGGGGGTCAGAGAATGGAATGTCAATGTGCAGAGGGGGCAACTGACACTTCCAGAATTGTTAAATGCAATTGATGGAGGTCACTAAAACAGCAGACTGAATCATTTACTGTAAGTAGTACAATTTTTAAACAACACTGGATTTAAACATTAATGTTATGACAAAAGAAAGAAATAGAAATATATCTAAAAACATTTAATCAAAAGTACACTTACACTGTTTGTCAATGATCCCTGATAAAAATCCATAAGTGGTTAAAATTTTACAGGAACATATGGTAAACCACCATAATTCTTTAATTTTTTTTTTCCCAATTGCAGTAATGATTGTAGAAATTGATATAAAAACACACAATTTCAATTGTATGAAATGTTAAAATGATGCATAAATAAGAGAAAGAAAAATTTGCTGAAGAAAGAGCCTTATCATGTAAGACTTTCAGCTTATTTCCACAATCATTTCCAGCGATGGGTCTGTAAGAGAGAAACATATAAGGACAAGCTCAGGTTAGACAATATTTAGCAAGCACTTATATTTATATGTACGTGCATATCTTGAAAAATGATAATTAATTCTGTTGAGGATAGAGCAATCCGCTCTGTGTTCATGCATCTAAATATGAAATGGTATCAATTCTCCTGAGACCTGAGAAAAAAATGGAAAAAAATATTTTCAACAAAAAAAAAAGATGTTACAAAGGTTTGCATAAATCTCTTAATTTTTGGGAAAGCATACAGTACATATCGGATTATATTTATAAGGGTTAGGTGTTCTCCACACTGGCTATGGTAAACATGATATTTGTGCTTCTAATGTGCTTTTTCTTCCAGACGATCAAGTCAAATGAACCACATACCGCCCGTCCACAGTAGTTTTACTGAAAATAGGCAGCAGCAGGCAAAGTAACTGTACGTCATCTGGCACATGCTGCTCCAATGACTGACATGTCCACTGGATCATGGATACCAGTACCTGGCCACTTCAAGAGGTCGGGGTATCATGTGATCGCTATGCGATCACAATGTAGATGTCAGGGATCATCGTGGCGCTGGTCCTGGCGCAGGCGCAGTGCAGGGCCGCGGGCACTAGGTCTGGGCCGGCCGCGGCATCCGAACTCGCGCATGCGCATTAGAGGCCGCGGGCGCGCGCCTGGCACCAATGACAGCGCAGGGCGCGATATTTAAACAGCCCTGAACTGTCATTGAGTGCCATCTGGTCTTTTCTGGATTCCTGTTACCTGTGAACCTGTATCCCGTATGTTGCTGACCCAGATTGTCCTTGACCACGCTGTATTCTCCTACTCTGACCCTTGGCTTGCCTGACCTCTCTCCTGGATGCCCCCTATTGGATCTGATCTTCTGTTGCTGACCTGGCGTGTGACCCGACTATTCTCTGCCCGCTGCTTTGTACCGCACCGTCCCCACGGCTACCGACCCGGCTTGTCTGACCTCGCACCTGCTCAGCCATCCATCCCATGGGGGTCACCCGACCTCCTTATATCAGGCTCTCCCCTGTGGGAGCCCCTGGCGAACACCCCTACCACTGGTGGGTGTACTCAGTAGTCACGACCTGGTCTCAGAGCGCTCCAAGTCCATCCCCACCATCAGGGGCCCTGGTGAACAAGTGCTCTGGGGCTTAGATTCCGTACTCTGGGGGCACCTGACCAGTGGAGTGCTAGTGGTACCGCCAGGCGGTAAGTTACAGTAGACACAACTGTTTCATTCATAACAGCTGTGCTTACTATTGTGATGTTGTGATTGGCCCAAAGCTATCACATGGTACCTGGGCCAATCATAGCACCATGAGCCATGTGATAGCTGTGGGACAATCACAGCATCACAATAGCAATCACAGCTGTTATGAATGAAACTTATTCATGACAGTTCAAAACATTGATATTGCAGTGATCATCACTGTATCAGTAATCAAAGTGTAAAAAAAAAACAAAATCTCTGATCACCCCCCAGAATAGTAACCTGTCACTGTGGTGCCACTGAACTATTTTGATGACAGGAGGTAAAAAAAAAAAATTATAAAAAAAAGAAAGAATGCTTTATTGAAAAAAACAAATGCAGAACATTGATGGTACTGTACATGTTACAGTGCACAAGAGGTAAAAGCATAACAAACAATAGACATGCATGGAAAATAACCATATTAACCCCTTCCTGCCGACGCCTCCCGGCCCTTTAAGAGATTCAGACGCCGGGAGGCGGGGCGGTTGGGGCGTGGTTTAGGAATCATGTGACCGCCGTGATGACGCTTCACGGCGGTCACATGATCGGGAAAGGTGCCGATCGAAAGAGCGGACCGGGACCTTTCCGTGAGTACCACACATGTGTGCTGGGAGCGTGCAGGGTGCGCGCTCTCAGCACATATGTATTTAGTTACATGGACGCAAATGTGCGGCCACTCAGTGTCTAGGCCCAGACGCCGGGAGGTCGCACACAAATGTGCGCAAAGGGGTTAAGCTTATAGGTTATCATGACAATGTTCATAACCCACATGGAAGAAAAATATATTTGAAATATATTTTTAAAAATAATCCTTCCCAAATATATTGCCATATATTTGAAACGCTACAATTTTGGCCATATATATATATACTGCATGTTAAAATGCATTTTTATTACAAAATATATGAAAAAGACTTTTAACAATACATTTCAAATAAATATTTTTTAAATAAATTTTTCAAATTTTTTTTTAACAGATAAAAAAGTCATTTTAACATATATTTTTACATATATTTGTAAATGCATTCCAAAAATGTAGATTTGTATTTTTAAAGACATACAGTATATTTGCAATGTAATTTTAATAATATTTTTCATATATTTTGTAATAAAAATGCATTTCAACAACAGGTAGTATATATATATTTATTTATTGAAATATATTGAATAATTTTAGCATTTCAAATATATGTCAATATATTTGGGAAGAATATTTTTAAAATATATTACCAATATATTTTTCTTCCATATGGAAATGCTCACATGGTTGTGCACTACATAGGGTTGAAAAAGATTTAAAGTTCTGTATCCTCCAGATGGCCAATCATTGAGCTCACATGCAAGGCAGAGTGCCGCACTTAATATCATAAAACGGAAGAAGAAAGTGAAAAGGGGTGAGAAGAAGTATCTAAAGATGAGGAGAAAAATAAAAAATATACACCATCCCTGAAACAAAACAGGGGGGGTGTTGGGAGAAGAGGAGAAAAAAAAGGGGATAAGAGATGGACCAAGGGTGTAGGGATTTATCTGCGCCCATTCTCCCACCACCAACCTCTACTAAAGCAGGGACTTCCCAGGTCACAAAGTCTTGGTGACGTCCAATCAGACAGTGAGCAGGTGTTTTTCTGTACTTGTAACTTAATTAAAGTGGTTTCAAAGGCAGAAGTTTTTTTTTTACCTTTATGAATTCTATGCATGAA